TTGGTCCATGCGGTAAGTTGTTACATTTGGTCTATTTATTACTGTAATGGAAAGAAAGTATTTACTTTTCAGCGGTAATAACAAAGATTATAAATAGTTCATTATCTTTTGTTTATAGGGGCATTTTTTACAAGGAACTACATATCTGTTTGTGATTTCCCAATTTGATTAGGCCTGGACGTTCAGTCAGTTCAACACCAAAATGAACATAAATGAGTACAGGTTGAAATTCAAGTATCGTACCTTGTTTGCCCTTGATAGGCAGATGTGGATGTTCCCCAATATATGCCATAATCCGCTGCGGATAACTGTTAATTACTACTGCCAGTGTAATTATTCTACACTAACCAACCATGTTCTATCTTCTTCTGTTTGTAGTCGTCGCGAGTCACGCTTTCTTAACGTTGATAAAAATAACTGTAAAAAATGACAGCTTCAGTGAAACCCCGATAGCGGTATAAGCTTGTAATTATATCGTATTATGCTTCTCACAAGATAAAATTTTATTCTATTTCTGTACATTAAATTCGCGGTATTCTCTGTCAAGTAGCTAATGATTTTGAAATTCGATTAGGACGCAGCTTATGCGGCGGCTACGATTGTCCAAATGGGGCCGTCTGTGTTATTCGTCATGGAAAGGCTGTGTGTCAATGCCCAACATGTAGAGACGAATTTGATCCGGTGTGTGGTTCGGACGGAATTACTTATAGCAACGAATGCAAAATGCGTAAGGAGGCATGCTATTCCAAAACTGACATATTCGTTTCGTACAAGGGCTTTTGTGGTAAGTGAAGAGTCCTTTCATCTGGTCCAACGAGGTTGATTCGTTTCCTCATCGCTTCTATTTCAGACGGATGCCAAAATAACGCCTGCGATTATTATGCGTATTGTGTCAGCGATGGACGAGGAAACAGTGAATGCCGATGTCCAGATATTTCGGATTGCCGAGAGGTATAAAAGAGTTTTCGTCATTTTTGCTTGTTCCGCTTTATCCAAAATGAGAATCGTAAAATTTCTAAGAGGTGAAGCGTTTCGTAACTCTTGACAATTGTAGAAACCGCCTCTTCCTTCTGAGCATTATTTTAAGTATAACGTGAGTTGGCCTAAAACATTTATCCATTTTTATCTTCATCTATCAGGGTATGCGGGTTTTGTTTCTTTCACGTTGGATCTTCCATCTGTGACTGACTGCTAGTTGCCAGGAGGTTAATTCTTAATCTGCAAAATTGCTCATTTTTTGTGGTTCGCAAACCTCTCTTGTGGGCGCTTGTTTTCGTGCTTATTGAGATCATTGCCTTGAACGGTTTGCGTTGGCAGTACGTCTGTGGTTTTGTTCGCTATTCCCAGCGATTCAATACTTTTGCTATAAGGCACCAATAATTGCATCGTAAAAGTAGCCGTTGCATTCCGCACGCACATCTGTCTTCCACTTGTTTATCCTGTTGCATGCAGTTCTGTTGACGCTTGTCAGATGTTGGCTCGAGCAAGGAGCTTGCTGTAAGGAGTTGATGCACTCGTTCGATCAATAACCGAATACTTCCTTTTGTTCTATTTAACACTGCAAGACATGATATTTGATGCTAAGGAACTGTCGTTGTTCAGCATCGCTCCTTCAGAAATGTTCCTCACTTTGTCAGGAGGAGAAGGACTTCATCCATTCGCTCTTTCACTACCAAACACCTACTAGATCTTTGAGCACGTATAATAGTGTCTGAATATCTATGTTAAAGGGGCTTAAAACAAGGGCAACAGTAACAAGGTCTTTCAACCCGATATCAAAAAAGAATGTATTAATAACAGGGTTTGCACCTATGTTGATTTTGGACGCTAGATCATCAACTATCATATTGTTCATGGCGAATTGCAGGACTATGATGCGTTTGCATCAGACAGTGTAGCCGTACTTGGAGCTCAATCTGGCGTGCCTACATCATAAAGCCATGCTGTCCTTGTTCCCAAGTCAACGACTGTCCACCTCTTTCTTGGGGGATTGTACCGAAGCAACATGGGGTCTGTTCAACGCGATAATTCCGGAGTTCGAAACCGAACTATTTTCCACTATGCTCTGCGCCCTGTACTTACAGGGATATATATTACGCAGGCAACATCGAACTTATGTGCAAGATATGCCGTTTTCTTCTTTAGGAAGGGAGCTTGGTCATTCGAAGTGTGAAAGTTGGACTGAATGGCGACTTATTTTAAATAAAATTAAAGTATTACTTAGTTAAAGAAACTGACTAATTTGGTAGTAGATCGAAATCTGGCAGGAACTTTTGATTTGAATATTTGATTTGAATTTTAAGCAATTTTGATAACTTTGGAGGATCGACTTCATATGTTCCTCAGTGATGAAACCCATGAATCATTTTATGGACCCAAGGCTTACGTATGTTTGAAAATCCAGCCTTCTTCCTACGAGTCAGAACAGTAGTTTCTTAATGACGAAAATGAATATCCAGAGCGAAGCATATATCAGTCGGTATTTATTTCCGTAACTTTTACCGTTATTTATATTATTACTACTGCATAACGTTTTGTAAGGACGTTGAAAATGCTGAAGCACATTATAATACCTGTTTAATTATACACAACGTAGTCCGTTTATCGAATGGTAGATTTGTCCTGAAGGTCGTTTTTGGAACCTTCTCGCGAGTAGGGCTGATAAACAAGTTGTTCGCCTGCAGCAGCTGGTTCACGCTCATCAGCAACACGATTAAATCATAAATGATACAATTATTAAATTTCATCCACTCTCCTTTCCCTTTTCTGTAACTTGAGCCCAATGGAACTCATTTGCCCATTTTTGCATCAATAAAATAAATCTATCGGTAGTTTGAGTCATATCAGACATTCAGTTTTTTTTTGGGTCATTGGCGTATTTCGTCTCACTGCTGTCAGACTTGTGGCTCAGACTGCTTTCCAACACCTTCTACGTTTTTCAAAGATAACAGTCTTCATAAGATAAATGTCTTCAACACCCGCGCATTGCTTGATCATGATTTTAAACCATTTTAGTCCAAAAAGGTAGTTTGCGGTACGGACGGTGTAACATATGAAAGCGAATGTCATCTTAGAGTTTCTGCCTGTCAGCAGCGTCTTTTTGTCATGGTAGCATCGGCTGGCGCCTGTGGTAAGTAAATTTGCCCTGTCTCTATGTTGGTCAAATAGCTTAGACATGAAACACCACTATTTTATGAATGTATAATTGAATCATCAACAAAATATCGGTTTGGTAAATAAAACGAGCCTTCGTTCAACTGCAAACTGCAATTGCCTCAGTAGTTTTTACTATTAAAACGAAACTAAAATTACGCACAATCTCCAGCCTAAGATCAAATACAAACAAAAAATTACCAGCGGCTTGTGGCCTGCGTTTTCGTGGCTCTATCATTAAAAGCACCTCATAGGAAATGGTTAAGCGCCGGACTCTACTTAGGGATTGCTGCTTCTACAGGTTTTTTCTCCAGCATGTTTTCAGTACTCAGCCAACTAATCAAAGTCAGGAGGCTGGATTCCAAAGCGCGATAAGGTGGTTATTCCATGTAATCGAGATATCTGGCGTCGGTCTACGCCATAGCTGCCTTTTATGTAATATCTTTTTGGAAATCCGCTTTGAAAGCCTCTTTTCTGGCAATCTCTGCTACGTCTTGAATTTCGCATCTGAACAGGTATCAGTGTAACTTTCATCAAGTGCTGTTAAGGTTTGATGACGGTGATTGGCCATAGTTTATTGGAATAGACTAATGAATTTATTTTCCTTATGATCATTGAATGAGCATGATGTAACGTTTCGAACGAAACAATATGATGATGATTGACATTTGTTTAAAAGTGGTGTTTTTCATGTTTTTGTTTGTATCTCCGCTGCATTGTCAATTTGGGATTCGGTTCTGATGAACCATACATTTATGGTTTAAAGACAGCTCTGTATCCTTCTGTTGACAAAGCTCCGAGAGATCGTAGCGCTTGTCCATGCATAATTGTAATACAGAGCGTTTAGATTCACCGGATAAGACTGTGTTTGTACAAGTGACACCAGTTTCAGACTCTTGTCAAGATAAACTGTGCGAGTTGGGTGCACGCTGTGAGAGCGGAAAATGCGTCTGCCCTACTGCATGTCCTCGCCCCTCATTGACCGACAAAGTGTGTGGAAGCGATGGACGCGTGTACGGAAGCAAATGCTACTTGCAGAAGGCATCCTGCAGCACTGGAATGACCATCGAAACAATGCCTGCCGAAAAATGTGCAGCAAATCTTACTGTTGCAGCATACGGTGAATCAGGTACCGACTCAGTGCGTTACTTGCATGCAGCAAAGTACCAGAAAAGTAAGTTGTATAAACATCTGACTAAAGGATAAGGGCAGCAGTAGTTTTTTCCGCATACAGTTTAGTGGCCTAGTATATTTTAAGCGCTGCATAAATGTTATAATGCTTGAAATGACCTACGAGAAAGTGCTTCTTTTGGCTATTCGGCAGGTGCGAACAACGATAGGCCAACGTGGCTCTACTATAAGTGCATGAAAATTTTTTCATTCGTTTTCCGTACCATTGTGAAGTCGCTTTCATCTGACTACAGCGTTTTCTATTGCATCGTCAACAAAACCTTTGCCCAAGGCTACGACTCATTAGTGGGTCAGCAACATCGTAACATTTAGGAATCGCTTATAAATGATTCAACAATAACCAGGCACTAGTGTGAATCTGTTATAATCTCTTAAAACCCATATTTC